AAAGGAGACAAAGAGTTTAATGTGTCTCAAAATCCGCTGAAAGAGATATATTATGCAGGCCTAAAATAGTAGCGTTAGCCCAAATTGGTAAAAAAACTCAATGCTAAACGACCCTTGCCACCGAAGTATGTAGTGTTTGTTTTCATGTATGTTTTTTGTGTATAGTCGGTTCCGCTATAATTGTTTTATTGCTTTCATGGCACAATTACAGGAGGTAGAACAAAGCTACCTCCTAAATACAATATTTTTCGTTTGGTGTCCCTATTCTGTCAAAGCATATAACAGTTTGTCTATGTGTGCGTAATGTTTTGAATAAACAAGAACACAAACTGAAATTGTTTCAAATTTAAATGAAACAGAAATGGATTCAACTGTGTGAAAAAGAATGTTGGTTGCGGTCAGGGCGTTGCGGGCTTCTTTCAGCAAATTAATCGACGGGTTTCTCTCCAATTTTGGACTGGTAAATATGCTGCCGTCTGTGTAAAAGAGAAGAAGGAGTACTAATTCTTATGAAAGGATGGGTCCGACTGATGTTGCCACCAGCAGTTTTTATGTCTACCACTCTAACATTTTGATCTGTTCCCTGAAGGGTCTTGATAATTCTCCTGAGTTACCACTCATGTGGTGCCAAACGTTCGTCTTTAATCACAACTAAGTCACCTTCTTTAAGGTTATCCTTTTGATATTTCCATTTGGTACGTCGATGAAGCTCATTTAAATATTCAACCTTCCATCGATTACACAATTATTGGTAGATGATTTTTAACCTTTTCCATCTATTAACTAGACTAATATCTTACTCAGTTCGGGCGGAGCTAAAATCGGGGTAACGATTAAGAAATGCCCTTGGGTTAAAGGCGCCAAATCGTTAGGATCTTCGCTAGCTGAAGTCAAGGTTCTAGAGTTAAGACATGCCTCTATGCAGGTTAAAATGATGGTGATTTAATGTAGAATTCATTTTTGACATACTCTTTCTTTAATGATTTTTAAAGGATTTAAACCCGGCCTCCCACAAGCCACCCATGTGCAGAGCGCCAGGCGGGATAAATTACCAACGAATGCTTTGATGAAAATTGTTTTGAACTGTACTATTTTGTATATTTTTCATGAAGGCTAGTCGATCCCGCTTTAACAGATCAACTGCTCCTACCGGAATAGATACATGACAGACAGTCCCAACGGCTAATAAATCTAGAGAAAGCTGCAAGAAAGGCAAATATCGACAAGTCACTTGTGGGCTCAAAATGAATGGCTTTGGTAGCGAAGCAAACAAACAAACAGACATAGGCCCTCGTAATGAAACAGACTCTGCCTGAAGGGTCCCGCAAAATCAACGCCTGTGTTCATAAAGGGTCTTGCCAATAGAGTTCGTTTAGGAGGTAGTGATGCCATTATTAGACTCTGTGTGCGTTTCTTGTGCGTTAAGCATATTTTGCAATTATATATCGTTTGTTAACCCAACGATTTTAGTCCGAATATCCAGTACTCGGATCTTAATAATCTGATCACCAACTGATTACCACCGTGCAATGTGATCTTGTGAGCAAATTCTACTAATAGTTTGCTTAATATTGCCATGAGTTCCATGAGTTAGTATTATTTGATACCGTTCATCGTAAGTTAGCGCAGGCGATTGTACTAATCGGCCATTCATCAGTGTCAGTAATGAACTAGAAGAAGATGTTCGAACTTTCCTTAAAAGTGATTCATAATTGACAGCATAAAAGAATTTCTGGGTATGATTTATACAAGCACGCTTGCTAACCTGAATTTCTTCAGCGGTTAGTTCCGTTGAAGAGGTTCTAAGATTTCGTCTATTTTTTCCAGCGTTTTTCCAAAATCTTAACGCATATGAAGATGGATAATTTCTTAGAGGGTCACTTTCTTCTTCGAATAGAGTCATTGCTTTTAGTGTTTTTGCCTCTAAGTTTGTATCATCGGGGATCTTATGTACTGGACAACGAACTTTAGGTATTTTGAGTCATTGCGGTCCATGCCACCAGAGTTTGTTATTTATAAGTTCACTGGGTGGGCATCCGCGACTGGCAATGTCTGCGGGGTTATATTCAGAGTCTACATGATTCCATTGTTCAGCTCCACTTCTTTCTAAGATATCAGATGTACAATTTCCCACAAAGACTGACCAATGGCAAGGCGGTTTTTTCAACCAGCCAGCACGATTGTTAGGTCAAAGTTTGATATCTGGAGATTATTCAAAATTGTTGATGCTGATTTCGACAAAAGGACGGCTCCACAAAGTTCTAATCTGGGAAGTGAAATTTTCTTGATTGGAGCAACTTTCGTTTTAGCAGTAAGCAATAACGTTCTGATGTCGTTGTCTTCATTCTGTAGTCGGATATATAATGCTGCTGCATATGCTTTTTCCAAGGCATCGCAGAACCTATCAATTTCTACTACACTGCCTTTTTTTAAATACTTAATATCTGCGCTATGTTTAATAAAATTCACTGGGCTATGCTTTTCTTTGGGCAGGTCATTTATAATTTTGGATCATTAGCAGTCCACTTCATTAGCTTAAATCCGGCCGATTCCATAGCGGCTATTAACTCCTTGCGAGATTTTATGATCTCTTCTATCGAATGACCTCCTGCTAAAACGTCATCAACATAAACGTTTTCCAAAATTATTTTCGGAGCTAGTGGATAAATGTCCTTAACGTCTTCGGCTAATTGAATGAGCGTTCGAAGTGCCAGGAAAGGTGTAGAATTAACACTAAATGTTCCCGTTAACAATCCATATTCTTTTATAAGGACAGACGAAGATTTTCTGAATAATATTCCTTGTAACTGTTTTTGACAAGTGTCCAATAAAATTTGCCTGTACATCATTGTAACGTCAGCATTATAAACGTGTCTGAGAAATCTCAACTTTAGTACTTGTAATACAATATCTTGCTGTAAAACCGGACCTGCATATAAATTGTAAGTGAGACTTCGCTTGTTTGACGTGGGACTTGATGCATTGAAAACAACTCGTAATTTTGATGTAATCTTTTCAGGTCTTATGATTGCGTGGTGTGAGAGATATTAGTTTGGAGTCTTGTTTATACGTTTGAAGATATTTTTCTCATATGTCTGAGTTCTAGAGTTCTACTCGAGAATCGTGCTATCGTATAATTCCTTTATCTCAGGACTTTTCATAAGCTTTTGTTCCATTCTATAAAATTGAGCTAAAGCCATATATCTTGAGTCTCCAATTTCTTCGCATTCCTTAAATGGGAGGGTGACAAAATATCGCCCTTCCGAATTTCTTTTGGTTGCTTTCAAGTAATTTTGTTCACATAAAACATCTTCATCTGATCTCAAAACCTGACTGATTCAAGCGTTTTGAATTTGTGGGTCAGAAAGTTATTAAAATCTTCAGATTCTGCTAAAAAAAGTTCTGGGAAGTTTACTAGAACAAAGATATATCAATATAGGATCCCATCCTGCTACTCTGCAGTTGAAACTTTGGCTTATAACTTCTCTAGCTTCGCAGGTTGGTAATCTCGAAGGTAGGGTAAAATCAGCTTCCTATTGAGCCAACTGGGTCAATCTTCTGATTTCTCCCTTTGCTTCATTTTCTTTGAGAGTTTGGATTTGTCCATCGATTACTCCTATCGCATTTTTGTATATGTCGATTGCCTCTAAATGTTGGGTCCTCAGTTTAGTTCTATCAACCGGTTTTCTTCCTTCCTCTGAAATAAAATATCGGCATTCTAAATATGCTTTTTTTACTTGGTCATAAAATGAATTTAGCTCCACTCTCGAAGCCTCCAATGTGTGTATGTCGTCATTTGTGCCTGCGATGCTCACAATTGATGTGTAATCCTTCAGATCATTCACGCAAAATCTTTGTTGTAGTACGCCCAGACTTTAGAACAAAATTTTGTATAACAAGAATTTGACAAAATTGACCGATTAGAGGACTGATCTTTGTTGTATTTGGATACAAACAAATCAAGGATTTTCCTTGGCAAAACCATGAATGTTACTTTCCAAATATATTTTTAACAACGAATGATTTTTAATTACAAAGTTCGTCATTCCGTTTGTAACTCATCGAAATAATTATTTTAGACCCAACAAAGTATGTATATTCTTGATCAGTGTAAAATTCGACGATTTAGCACCGTCCGTCCGTCTGTTGTAATCACGCTACACTCTAAACGAATTAAGATAGGAAGCTACAAATTTGCACAGATCCCTCTTTTGTCTGCAGGTAGGTCAAGTTCGAAGATGGACTATATCGGTCCACGATATCGTATAGCCCCCATATAATGGTACCCCCGATATTTGGTATTTTGATGATGTTAGTCACATTTTTCAACGGAATTGTCTGAAAATCTACACAAGGAGTACATTGTGGGTACTTTATACCTCGGAAGAGAATTATCTATATAGGTCCACGATATCGTATAGCCCCCATATAACGGTACCCCCTGATATTCGGTATTTTGATGATTTTAAACACATTTTCAACGGAATTTTCTGATAATCCACACAATGAATTCCTTGTGAGTACTTTATCACTTGGAAGAGAATTATCTATATAGGTCCACGATGTCGTATGGCCCTCATATAACGGTACCCCCGATATTCGGTATTTTGATGTTTTCAGTTACATTTTTCAACGGAATTGTCTGAAATTGTACACAAGAGGTTCTTTGTGAGCACTTTACCCCCTGACAGAGAATTCTCTATATAGGTCAACGATATCGTATATCTCCCATATAGCGGTACCCCCGATATTCGGTATTTTGATGTTTATAGCCATATTTTCCTATGGTATTGTCTGAAAATCCACACAAGGAGTTATCTGTGAGCACTTTAACCCCTGAAGGGTAGTTGTCTATATAGGTCCACAATATCGTATATCCCCCATATATCGGCATCTTCCGATGTTAGATATTTTAAATACTTTAACAGAATTATTAATGGATTTTATTTTTTGAAAATTTTCTAATTCGTTCCATATTGTGGAGAATCGGCCGAACTTACTGGTTTTTTACTTGTTTGAATTTAGATTAGTTACATCCGAACCGCTGTGTCTTCTTTAATTTTCGATTTGCTTGTTGCTTTTATTCTGTGGATATATAGTAAAATTTGTTATTCACTCTTGTTATTTTCTTTGTTTTTGCAATTATAAAAATTAATAAATTTTATATTTTTTTGTTTTGACTTACTGTGGTTTATTTTTTTGTCTCTTTAAGTTTTCCAGTGGTCTCTCACTCCTGTATCTTGTTGTTTTATCACTATTTGCTTCCACTGATCACTGTTCTGTATTCGTGTGTATGTGTGTGTTTGCCGGTGTCTACTGTCTTGTTGAAAAACTTCTATTTTTTTTTTGGTTCTTTTTTGAATGTCTCTTTTTATACCACTTTGTTTTCTGTTAAAAACCTTTTGTTCAAATGTTTTTTTTTTTTTTTTTTTTTTTTGATTTCTTGCTCAACATCATTCACTGTTTGCTTTGTTTTCTTTTTGTTGTTCAATTTGTATATGTTCACTTTTATGACTAGCGTATTTTAGTTCACTTTTATAATATTGTTAAATTGTATTTTAATTTCACTTCACTTTGCACTTTTTTTAAATTTGTTTTAAAAAACATAATCTGGCTCCTCGAGGATCAAATGTTATTATCTTTAACTTTTACTTCCCGTTTTTTAATTTGTTAAATATTTGAATGTGTAATTTTAATTCAAAGTATTATTTTATTTGTAATTTAAAGCTTTGTTGTTTATGTGTAGGTACAATTGTTTGTTTATATTGTAGAATTTTGTTTTCTAATATTGTACAATTTTACGTAATTCAATTGGTTTAGTTTTGTACAATGTTAATTTTGTGTTTGCAAACTTCAATACTTTTTATGTCATTTTAAACAACTGCACTTATGCTAGGAACACAATTGGAGCGAACGACGAATTTCGCCCTACGCGGCGACAAAATGAGCCGCGAAAATTCGTCGTATGGAACACAATACCGACGAAATTATAAAACAGCTGATGAAGTCGTTTACTTTTTGCTCATTTGTTGACTACAATGAATTATACAAGAACACATAATTCTTTACGTTCTCTATTATAATTTCACTTATGTCCATCTTCTCTATTATAAATTCACTGATATCCATCTTCACTCAGGCGCAAGTACACAAATAAATAAACAAATTAATTATGTTTTTTTATACGAGTAACAGATAGTAGAGTGACCATAACAAATTTTAAAGTAAAAAGTAACTTTATTTACTAAAACACATAAAATTCGTACAAGTATGGCCACCTTGTAAATAAAGCTAATTGAGTTCGCGGCGACCGACGAAATTTTCGCCGGTGCCGTGATTGTGTGCACTTCCATATACACATATGTGTTTTATTTTTTACGACGAACATACGCCGCGAAAAAATTCGTCGTTCGCTCCAATTGTGTTCCTAGCATTATGTTCTCACGGGGCACTTGTCGGTCTGAAGATGTTTTCCAAACTGAACAGGATTATTCTGCCTTGAGCATGGTATAAGAATATAGGTAGATGCATCAACACTCGCGAACATTGATATGTCAAATAAAATTAAAAACATCTCCAAAAATAAATGGTTTCTTATACGATGCCAATCGGAGGTTGTTATGACATGCATTTTTCAACAATTTTTACAAATTTCGATATTTTTCATTCAAAAATTTCAATTCCAAATTTGGTTTCACAGCTCATTGTACCAGCAGCTGTGTTGAAGTGTCTACCTGTATCATTTTATCATGCGCTTGGGCTACCAGAGCTGTTGAATCTTCCAGGATTTTTTGGAAAAGTGTTTGGCTAGCGGCAGCACGTATGCATGTATTAGTTGATATGCACCAATGTACATATTGTTTACCGCTAGCCGCAAATTTAAAATTCTTACATACAGTAGCTACCATAAGCATGGTCAATGACCATATAGTATGATCTACTTGAAACAAATTCTTTTGTTACGGGAGCTTTACTAAATATGCATAGTAGTGTAGAGTATCATAAAGTCGTCCCCACCAAACTTTTGATTTTTCCTTACAGGTTTTTATTCATATGTGTGAACATTAAACTAAAATTGTAAGTGACAACAAAATGAGTATATTTGGTTAAGTTTTTTCATTCTTCAGTGTTTTTGTAACTTTTATTGTAAGTGTAATATCTATGTTTTTGTAAGAAAAATGAACGCCCAGATAATCTTCTTGTGTTTGTTTAGACGTTAAAGTTTTTTTTTGCACCGAATGGAGACAAAGAGTTTAATGTGTCTCAAAAGTCGCTGACAGAGATATATTAGGTAGGCCTAAAATAGTAGCAAATACCTCTTCAAAGTTGCATAAAGCCAAAGCATCCGAAATAGCTGCTGGGTCAACAGAACTGTAGTCCGCATATTCATAATACAGACGGCTACGACAATGAGGTACATTCAGAGACAAAAATATAAACGAGTGATCAGAAATGCCAGGACAAGAGAATTTGAACACGATAACGGACTCAAATGCGACACCAAAAATAATCCAACAAAGAAGTTAAATTGTGCGCAACGTCAATATGTGTTGGCATTGAATTATGCACCACAGACAAATTTAAACGATTACAAACATCTCGCACCAATACACTTCGGGTCAGACCAAACGTATTATTATTAAATTTCCCCATAATAATGACATTGGAATACCTTACAACAAGGTCAGAAATTTCATCTTCCATTGCCATTATATCACCATGAGGCAAATAAACGACACTAATTAAAAAAGAACTAATATTAACAACTACCTCACAAAAAAAATTCAGCAACACCATAAGAACTTCCCCTACACACAAATTAATGACACATGTCCTGCGCAACATACAAAACAACACCACCTCCTCCGTTACCAGGTCTATCACTCCTATATGAAACGTAATCAAGTATTTTTATGGCTTCGTTTGAAATTGTAGGCTTCAACCAAGATTCTGTCACGCCAAAAATATTAAGATTTTTCCCCTCTAAAATATTTCTTATTTCATGAATTTTAAATGAAGTCTTATTTAAGTTAAAACTTCTAACATTTATATGTCCAACATTAATATTTTCCCTAAAATTAAATAGCTGATTCGACAAAAAACGATTATCACTAAAAACTTCACCTAAGCTGGTTGAAAAACGCATAATGATAATAAAGATCAAAATATAAACAATAGTAAAAAAATAACAAAATCGAAAAAAACAATCCAAGAAAATATAAATATCAAATAAATAATATACAGTACACTAAACTACTCAACAAGCTCCACTTACAACAGCACATCAACATTCCGCTGTGAAACAGAAACAACAGCATCAACACCACCAACAGAAGTATTTTCCACAGCAGAAATAACATCACCATTTAACATACTGATACACCGGGGAATATCAAATTCAAATTATTTGACGGTAAATACATAAACAGCTGATTTTGGGAAAACAAAATTATTTGCCAGAAAACAAAAATTTGACCAGTGTGTCCATAATGTGAACACACATGTGAACAACATTTGTAACATGATGTTTAATGAATAGAAAAACAAACGAATGCAATAAGTGGTTTTGTTTATTTGAAATTTTTGAATTTACTGATTTTTCATGTTTAGTAAAATATTTAATATATAGTCTGTTCCAGAACTACATGAATGTAAATGTTTTTACAACGAAAACCGATTTCCCCTTTATTATATCGAAGAAAATTGCAAAACTAGTAGATTCTTGTAGGTTCTGAAAACATTGATATGTCAAAAAATTTGTTTGCAAAATCTGTCAAATATTTGACTGTAATGTGAACATCGAATCAACCCTGTTTGAATTTCGCATTTGTTCAGTCAAATATGGGAAAACAAATTTCGAGTAAAAGTAAAACGTTTTAAAAAGTGATAGTTTTTAAAATCATACAATAGTAATATTTTCCAATAACAAACATTCATATTTTTCGTATCATTCATTTCTATTTAGAACACACACAAAAAAAAAGAAATTGTTAAAAAAATATCAATGTGAAATTGTTCAACTTTGAAATTTTTTACGGCCAACGTATTCGGGTAACATTCATATAAATACATGTGTTTTTCTTGTGTTGTGATACACGTCGACCAAGTCGTCGATAGTTTGTTCTATTATTACTATTAATCCTAATTTCATGTACTTTTTTACAAATTTCTATAAAAATCAACAACTAAAAAATTTAAAAAAAAAATTGATTATGTTACTATGAATTACGAATCGTGCCGTATGCACGGGTTAATTCGTTTACCTAATTCTAAGAGCGAAAAACCTGATTGAAAGTGCAAGCATAGACAAATAAATGTACACCTAAGTCTGTTTTTACACGGTCTATTGGACACGGTTTTGATATAACACGGTTTGAAAATTGAATATTTTTAATTTATTTACACGATTTTATTCCATTTAGCACGATTTGAAATTTTATGTACTTAAATTTTTTTGTCAAATTTAATTTTTGCGAAGTATGTTCATATCACAAAAAAGATTTATGAAAGAAAAAAGTCTGAAACCATCGATAGTTTGCGAACACTAGCTTAAAGATTTAAGTGAATTCCCCTTTAGCGCGTACAAACAATTTTTACTGGTCAAAGCAAATGTGAATAGCACTATGTGCATACAATAAAATTTACTGGTCAGAGCAATTGAAACGTGTTAATATTTTGTGAACTGTTAATGCAATAAGACGTGTTTGGTAAAGAAAAAAATAAAAATTCTTGTTTTTCACTAATTTTAATAGGTTTTAAAGATTAGGAACAAATCACCCATTTTTGTATAAGATCAATGTCTTTTTTACACGGTTTTTTTTACACGGCTTCTTCTGGAACCAATCTACCGTGTAAAAACAGACTTAGGTGTATAGACAAAGAACTATTAAAATATAGCCATTCCGGCAGATGTCACTATGGTTTATCTTGGGCCAGTAAAGTTACTCAGGGCTAGGAAAGTCACTCGAATTCAAAAACAATTTGTTCATTTTTCTGCTATTTAAGTTCTATATGTTGTTGTTGCAAAATGATTCTAAATTTTTATATTTCACGACATAATTGGGTAATGTCAATGTAAACAAAGTCACTGTTTTATTTTTAATACATACATAAAAATAAATCATAAATATTTTAAGCATGAACGACATTTATTGAAGCACTTTTTTTCAAAGATAACAGATGAGACAACTTTTTAGTCTACACATTTATTTGTCTATGGTGCAATGAGAATGAGTGTGATGAGTGAGAATGAGATGATGAGTGATTTGAATGGAACAAAGAACAAAAATATTTGTTCGCTCTGCAATTTTTATGCGGGGAATTAAGATAATATTTAAAAATTAACATACCTAATGAAAAAATAGACAACGAAAAGTTAGTTTTGTCTTTTTATCCAGATGGCTCTCATCATGTTTTGCATAGTCAACATACTGATTAATGCGATCGACCCGCTTGTACAAAATGTTTTGTACATACTTTTGAGTGGGAAATTCTAACCATTAAAAATAAATATTTCAAAATTGTAAACTTCCCAGTGGTCATAAAATATTACATGTGTACAATTCAGTGATCTTGTGCGCTGTCGCATACGATAATGTGTAGAATAATAAAGGTCATAACCCACACACACAGATATCGATGCGCCAGTAGGTAGCCAAGATCACTTGAATGAAGGGACACGCAGCCATGCAATGTTTCCTTTTAAATCTAATAATAGATAAGAACAATTGTGTGACTGCGACTAGGTTAAGTTAGATTAGTTACGGTAGTACGTAAGGAACATATACGTAAGAACATATTTTCTTTCTTACACCACTCGAAATCGAAAACACATTTCATCGTTTTTAAAAATTTGCACTTGATTATTCCAGAATTTTTCGAATTTTTCTTTTCACATTTCTTTTATTTGGGAACAATTGTCAACTAGCAAATATAATTTAGTTTATGATATTTTTAACCTTTAAGAATTGAGTAAGTTCAATATTCTCACTCAAATTCCTGAAACGATGTAGACGACATCTGCTGATACGAATTTTTTCGAAGTTAAACGGTGCAAAGACATATAATATTATAATGTGGGACATTACATTGTTACTTTTCTTCAAAAAATGGCGCTGGCTGTGGAAAAATATGTGATGTCACGATATCGTGACATAGCATTATGTTATACTTTAACAGGGCTGACACATTTTAAGGGTTGTTGTTGATTTTTATCGATTCAATGTACAAGAAACGCTCTGGAATGGATTTTTGAGAACATGTCTATCATACCTGATATTTTTTCCGCGTATTTCCGCCATTTTTCGCCGATATTGGAAAAACATTTTTTTTTGAAATTTCCAATGCATTTCTGTTATGTTGCCATCTACTACCTAGTAGAAAAATTAAAGCCTATATGCATTTTGTCCAGTCTTTGAACAGTGGAAGCATTTCTTTGTCTATATTTCCATTAGTCTATGTAATTACAGCCTGTCTTTGTAAGAGTATTTTTCCTTTTGTTTGGAATTTTAGTCAAAGAAAATATATTTGGAGTTTTTGTAGTGCATGTTTTTTTTTTTTTGTGAGTGACAAACACAAGAAAATTTTTTTTCTCCCTGTATTTTTGGTTCTTGTAACGAAAATATGCAAGCGAAATTGTCGGAAACAAGTAAGCAAACATTAAGTTCTGCCGGGCCGAACTTTTAATACCCTCCACCTTAGGGTAAAGGAAACATTTTTATATATAAAGGTATCTGAATTCAAGCGTATTTCACTTAAACTTCATATACCAATAAACCTGTTGCATAATGCAGTTAAACTTATCAAAAAAACCATAAAGTAAATGAGGCCGTTATATGGGGCCATACCAAAACGGGATCTTCTACAGACAATTTTTTACTTCAAGGATTGTCATCTATCAAATCTTCTATAATACCAAATTTGAAACAATTATGTGGGTAAATGTGACCAGGATTATCAAAATACCGAATAACGTTATATGTGCGCTATAGGAAAACGTGGAACTAAATATTCAATGTCCTGCCACCGGGCTAGAACCCATTATGAGCTAAAAATACCGATTTCTATCAAACTCTCGAATATCGGCGGGTACCGTTATATGGGGGGCTATACCTACACTAGCTACAACCCATTACGAACTAAAAAAATGTTTCGTCACCGGAGCTAGAACCTATTAAGACCTACAAATACTAATTTTTAGACAAGTCCGTTGAAAAAAATTGCAAAAATCATTAAATAACGAATATCGGGAGGTACCGTAATATGGAGCTATACCAAAACCTGGGCCTATACACACAATGTTTCTCCACACAAGCTAGAACCCATTATGACCTACAAATACCGATTTTCAGACAAATCCGTGAAAAATGTGGCAAAAATTATCAAAATACCGAATATCGAAAGGTATTCTTATATGGGGACTATACCAAAACGTAGACCGATACACTTCATTTTCAATACCAACCATTCTAGATACAATTTGTGTTGTTCTGCTCTACGTCAAATAATGTGGGATGTATCGTGATTGAAACAGACAGACGGACATCATTGAATCGACTTAGAATTGTTTGCTGATTATGAATATATATACTTTATGGGGTCTACGATGAATATTTAGGGATGTTATAAATGGAATGATAGAGTAAATATACCTTCCTCTCCTCTTTTAAAATTTTTATAAAAATCCATATAAAAATGAATAAGTTTGAATACAAACGATTGCAGTGAAAGTTACTTTTTTTAAATTATAGAATACAGGTAGTCGCATCGACACTGCTGCTGAGATAATGAACTGTCAAACTGATTTTGGAAGTGAAAATGTTGAATAAAAAATTATTGAAATTTGTAAAAATTGTTCAAAAATTCATATTATAAAACCACCGTATACGAAAACATTTAAAAATATACTTATTTTTGATAAAACATTTTAAAAATTTGTATGTTCTTAAGCGTTGATGCATCTACCTATATTCTATCATGCTTTTTTACAAAAACAGGCTGTTATTGGTCGAAAAATGAATAGAGAGCGAATCAAGTGCCATGTGAACTTAGCATTACTTAGTTAAGTTCTTGTAGTCCCTTTTACAGAATAGTTTATTTGAAGTTCCTCATTTTTGAGCAACTCCATTGCTGAAAACAAACAAACCATTTTTATTTCCTTAAAATAAGTTACTCAGTTTAAGTATTTGGAATTTTGCGAATGTAAAATTTAATCGTCATGTTTAAGAATACCTTCCAATCAGGATTTCTGTCTGTGCTTTACAGTATAGGTAGCAAGCCACTCCAAATTTGGGATAAGAAAGTGAGGAATGGACATATCAAACGTATTACTGACAATGATATACAAAGTTTGGTTCTTGAAATTGTGGGTACAAATGTCAGCACCACTTTTATAACATGTCCTGCAGACCCTAAAAAAACGTTAGGCATAAAATTGCCTTTTTTGGTTATGATTATAAAGAATGTAAAAAAATATTTTACTTTTGAAGTACAAGTGAGCATGCATTACTCTACAAATCAGATAGACATCTTAATTCAATTTTAATTTATAGGTATTGGATGATAAAAACGTACGAAGACGTTTCCGTGCCAGCAATTACCAGTCGACGACACGCGTGAAGCCGTTCATATGTACAATGCCGATGCGCTTAGATGAAGGTTGGAATCAAATACAATTCAATCTATCCGATTTTACAAGACGTGCGTATGGCACGAATTATATTGAAACTTTGAGAGTGCAAATACATGCAAATTGCCGAATTCGTCGTGTTTACTTTTCGGACAGGCTGTATTCAGAAGATGAGCTACCACCAGAATTTAAATTGTTCTTGCCAATACAGAAGCCTTCACAAAAAGCACAGGCAATATGCAGCTAAAAAAGGCAATATTATGCAGCTATAAACCTTGAATGTTGAATCGGAATAAATCTTACAATAAAATGTAGTAACAAATTGCTATTTATTGTTGCAAAAGAGTCACGCTTAGGATCTCGTGCCCTCAATATGGCAAAGGCAACAAGGGTATAAACAAATGCTACGCCTAAAATTTTAAGAAATTGTAATGTGTTTATCCCCGATTACCTGAATATTTGAGTCGAAATTGCGGTTCTAACAAATATCCCAACATACCAAAAACAAACCGAGTAGTTTTGGCTCAACTAAGATCCGGAATGTGCAGCCTCCTCAAGTTCTATTGGGCCCTGATCGAAAGCGATGTGCAGAACATCTGCTCAGCTTGTGGCACAGGACCACATGACACGCTGCACCTTTTTCGCTGTCAAGGCAAACCTACTCACCTAACTCCAGTCTCGTTTTGGACCCAACCCGTACAGGTTGCATCCTTTTTGAGACTGGACTTAGAGGCAGAACCCGATTGAGAAGAGTTAGATCAAACACAGAAGTATGAGATGCTACAACAACATTCCAAAAATAAAATACAGTTAGAGAATAATATAAAAATAGTTTGTCGTAAGCAGCATTTTTTAACAATGCTGGAGAAAAACATATGTTGCACAAACATCTGCCCTCTTTTGACAAATTTGATTTCATTTTTGTGTAAAAATTGTCAGCTAAAAATAGTTTTCCTTGGTAGAAAGCTAAACCATGCGAATTTAGTAAGTAAGGGTGAATCTCATTTCAGATTGAAGGCATTAAAAAAGTTGCAGGAATTCAATAGAAGTTTAATATTAGTGGAAGAGATGAAGGAGCTCAAACAAGGGAGAAGAAAGCTTCACGGTATCAAGGCCACAGGAGGCAGTGAAAGCTGGGATGTCCATCGATGAAAAAATGTGTAGAATGATTAGAAAATAAATATTTTATAACAGAAAATTGTCTGTGCAGGTCCACGTCTTCGTATAGCCCCAATATAACGCTACCTCCCTATATTCGGTATTTTCATGATTTTAGCGACATTATTCACCGGAATTGTTTGAAATTTGGTTTTTGAAGTTCGTAACGGATACTCAGCCTATTACAGAAAATTGTCTGTGCAGGTCCACGTCGGTACGTTGATGATTTTAGCGACATTATTCACCGGAATTGTTTAAAATTTGGTATTTGAAGTTCGTAATGGGTACTACAGCCTATGACAGAAAAATGTCTGTGCAGGTCCACGTCTCCGTATACCCCCATATTACGGTTCACCCGATATTCGGTATTTTGATGAATTTAGCGACATTATTCACCGGAATTGTTTGAAATTTGGTATTTGAAGTTCGTAATGGGTACTACAGCCTATGACAGAAAATTGTCTGTGCAGGTCCACGCCTTCGTATAGCACCAATATAACGCTACCTCCTTATATTCGGTATTATGATGATTTTCGCATTTGAATATTGTCGTATAGACCCTAATATAGCGGATACATTCGGTATTTTTAAGATTTTAACAAAATTTTTAACGGATTTTATTTTTTTTTTGAATTGCCAAAATCATTTCAAATGGTTGAGGGTTTTCAAAGATCGGCCCGGACAAACTTACAGCTTTTTTACTTATTTTCTATTATTTGAGAGTTATGTTAGATACGTCTTTTTGACTTCTGTTTTTGTGAAACACAAAAAGGGGTATCCAAAATAAATAGGCTTAAACATAATAATAAGGTGTTTTGTAAAATTGTAAACGTTTTTTTGTCATTAAGAAAGTAAATGAATTAATAATTGATTATAAAACCTACGTCCATTGGTTAAAATAATTAAAATTTTAAATTAAAGATTTTCCTTATTAATTGCATTTCTTATACATATATTCATAAGTAAGTTCAGTTATATATTTTTTATTTATTATGTAATTTTGTTAATTATGAATTACATTTTAAAACTACTTTTGAAAAGGAATATTGTCATAGAAAGAATGACAGTCTGCAGGGAGTCTTTTTAAATCCAGTAGATGTTGCCAGTTTTTAAATGAACTTTAACTGAGAATCTCCTTCCAATTCTTTGTGGAAGCTGTTTGTAGGGTTTGTGTTGAAATAAATAACTCCAGTTGGATCATATGCCAAAGTACGTATCATTTTGACTGACTGCTTGCATATCCAGTCCACCTAGAAATATATTTGCTGTATATTGTCGACGATAATTTGATTCCAATTTTGGAACGTCTTCAACCATTTTCTCAAAAAGTCTTAATACTTTTTTTTTCGCAAAATTTAGATTTGCACGTTTTTTCAATGATCTCGGTTTACTCATCAGTTTTCCTTTGAGAAAACCTTTAAATGTTTTAACTTCTATACGAGTATTTTTACTATCGACGTTAGTAATTGTCACGTTGACAGATTATGACATGGAATAGAGAAAGAAAACTTAATCTACATATTTGTAGAGGTGTTGAAATATGAGTTTGTACATAATATGTAGTCAGCATTGATCAGCTTTGTGGATCAATGTGCTATTGCATTTGACGAATAATAGATACTAATTTTTTAACAAATTTAGTTTAAAGGCATTTATAAAAATCAATTAAAAATTCGATTTTGATTTTTTTGTTGTTCCGCCTTTTTGCATTTTAGCTAACGAAATGCTATTATGTGTACAAAAACTAGCTAACGTTGGACATACAGCAGAGGAGAAGATCTCAATCTCCGGTTGATCTACGGCTGAGGAGTTTGCCTTGTCGCCTTTAGCCACTTGAATCTTCTGGCTAGTTGAAGTATTACTACAGGGTCAGTGTTAGAAAAAGACGACAAGTCATGTGACACTAGTTCTCCCACTAGCCTGTGTCTCACATTAATGAGTGCTGGGCAGTGGCAGAGCAAGTGTTCGATTGTCTCGATTTCTTCTTCATCTTGACAGATCCTACAGTAGTCAATGCCGTCGCTGTCCCATTTCGATGTCATAGCCCTCACCTTACAGTGACCTGTGATGATACCCACCACAAGTTTTAGATCAGGTTTTGACAATGACATCAGCGACCTTGTTCTCTTCTCCGAGAGTGTGGGCCAGATTCGTGTGGGGATGGTGCATCCCATTTCATCCAGCCATTTTTGTTGAATTTTCTCAGAGTAATGTTTGTGAATAACCTGTAGGAAATGGCACAGTGGTGGTTTAACCGAGTTGTCTACTTCAATTGTAGTTGATTCGGATCCTAGTCTGGCCAATTCGTCTGCAGTCTCGTTGCCTGGGATGTTAAAATGTCCAGGAACCCAACAGAGCTTGATGGATAACCCAGTGTTTTCAAAGGCTTCCCTGCAGTTCAAAACAGTCCTAGACTTGATTGTAAAGGAACTCAAGGCCTTCAGTGCCGCTTGACTATCGACATATATAGTCACCGGACTACTGACTTCAATGCTCCTCGTGACCAGCAGGTCAATGGCCTTTTTTGACCGCAATGATTTCCGCCTGAAATACGCTACAGTTGTTTCCAAGCTTGTAGGATTCACGAATATTAAGAGTATCACAGAAGACACCAGCTCCCGTACCACACTCCATCTTTGAACCGTCTGTATAAACAGCTATGCCGCGGAAAGGTGGGTTGTTTTGAGCCCAGGCGTCTCTATCAGGTATGAGTATGTCAGGTGGGTAGAAGCTTAGTCGTGGTGAAATATAGTCACTTACAAAGTCTATCTCTCCCACATTCCTTACACGCCTTAGAATCGCAGAATGTCCAAAGGGTTGACTGCGCCATTCACCTAGTTCTCTGAGTCGAAGAGCACTCCTGGATGCCTGTTCCTCCACATATACATTCAGCGGGCTTAAGCCCAGTAGAGTATCCAGTGCTGCTTGAGGCGTGTTCCTGAAGGCACCCGTTATTAGTAAGGATGCGACCCGTTGAACTTTGTTAATATGTCGTAGATAAGTAAACTTCTTCAAAGAATGCCACCATACTAGAGATCCATAGGTTAGAATGGGGCGAACGATTGACTCATACATCCATTTGATGATGTGCGGTTTGAGGCCCCAGCTTTTGCCTATAGAATTCTTACAGGAATAGAGTGCAATCAAGCCTCTCTTAGCTCGTTCCTCGGTGTTCCTCTTCCAACTTAGTCGGCGGTCAAGGATAGTGCCAAGGTATTTGGCTTATAGCGAGAGGTTTAAACTGACTCCATCTAGTTTCGGTGGTGTAAATGAAGGATATTTACGTCTTTTAGTGAAAAGGACGAGCTCTGTCTTTGATGGGTTCACGTCTAGTCCATTGCGACGCGCACACCGTGATAAGGTGACTAGAGCTCCTTGCATTAGGTCCGAGATTGTTTGCAGGAATTTCCCGGCAATTAATAGGACGACGTCATCAGCGTATGTGACTACTTTCGTCCCTGTTACCTCTAGATCTATAATTATATTGTTAATGACCAAAAGCCAGAGTAGGGGTGATGGGACACCCCTTGCGGAGTGCCCCTAGTGACCGATTTCCTGACGGATGTTTCCCCAATGCTTTAGTTGATGATTCTGCTGCTAAGCATGGTATCAATCCAGTCTATGAGGAGTTGGGGTACTTTAAGTTTTTATAAAGAATCATGAATGGATTCTAGCGTGACGTTGTTAAAGGCTCCCTCAATATCGAGGAAGGCAGCCAAGGTGAATAAGGAACCATTCATGTTCTTCTCTATATACCCTACGACATCGTGTTGCGCTGTTTCAATAGATTTACCTTTCATATAGGCATGCTGAGCATTGCTAATGACGGTCTTGGGTAATAGAGATCTGATCTCTATGTCTATCACCCTTCCAAAGTATTCAATAAAAAGGATGAGAGACTTATCGGTCTATAGTCCTTGGGAAGTGAGTGACTCGGTTTCCCCGCTTTGGGGATATAAGTGACTGTGACTTCTCTCCATGATTCCGGAATGTAGGATAGACACAGACAAGCTTTGAAAATCTCCTCCAGTATTGGGGATAATGATGCTGAGACACGCTGGATCATAGCGGGAATAATACCATCTGGTCCTGGAGATTTAAAAGGCTTGAATGTATCTATAGCCCATTTGATTTTGGGTAAGCTTACTATTCTTTTAGCCAGGTTTTGGTCACTAGCCGTATGATCACGATGCACTTGATCGGTTTGCCGATTGCTTGCAGTGTCGATACAGCCAGGGAAGTGTGTGTTGGCTAGCAGGTTAAGGGTTTCTAGTCCAGAGTCAGTCCATGTGCCGTCAGTCCGTTTTATACTTCCTATGGATTTAGGAACCTTCGAAAGAACTATACGAAATCTGGAGGCATCGTTGACACTTTCTATCGACTCCGTGAAGCATACCCAAGAGGTGCGCTTGGCCTTCTTGATCTTACTGTTGTACTTGTTAAAGAATGCCTTATATGCGTCCCAGTCCGTACGTAGTTTGGTCTTGTTGGCCCTATTATACAGTCGCCTACTGTCCCTCCTTAAGTTGGATAAATGTTTTGACCACCAAACTGGTTGACATTTTTTCCCTGGGTAGGTTAGCGGACAGACTTTTTCATAGAAATCAATCAAAGCACTCGTTATCGCATTTACGGAGTTGTCTATATCGAGGGTTGAGGTTAAGACCATGTTGTCGAAACAGTGAAGCCTGGGTGTAGCCAGTTCCGTAAATTTGTCCCAATGTGCCTTTCTTGGATTTCTATGTGGTTTTTGAAGATTACCATCTACTAAGACTTTAAAAACTATCTTTTCGGGTGGTCTGAAAACGAGCACTCAGGAGAGACTTCCAAACATGTATTAGAGATTCATCCTTGTTAGTTAGGGTGAGGTCAATGACCTCTGCCTTATCTGTGATTTGAAATGTTGCATCGTTGCCCCTATTACAAATTTTGAGATTATATTTTAAGATAAAATCCAAAATGGACTCACATCTGACGTTGATTTCGTTGCTGCCCCATTGGAAGTGGTGTGCGTTGGCATCACAACCTATGATTATATGTCCTTTGTCAGCCAGATCTTCGAGCAGCTCCTCTACTTCATGTCCAGGTGCGTCAGGTCGCTCGTACGGTAGATAGAGAGATATACCGTAACGTCTCCTCCACTGTAGTTGCTAAGGAAGATAAGATTTACACTCTTTTTGGCAACAATACACGTCCTTACCTTATCACCTTTGGAGATCGCATAAGAGACGTACTACCCACTCCCTAGTCCAGTTACCCTATTATTGTATATATAGGATTCCTGAACCAGAGCTATGTCTACTTCAGCTTTCGAGAGGGATAGGAGGAGTTCGGCAGCAGCAGCTTTGCAGTGATGCAGATTAATCTGCATGATGCTAAGCAGCCGCTGTTTTCTTCCACCTAATGCAACGGCGTTAGATGGAAGCGGATCCATCCAGCGCCGAAATGCAATTTTCCCCCACGAGCTTGAAGCTATTCCTGGCCATCCGTATCCATAGATACTTTGATGACCAGGCCCCCTCCCTCAGTGTTTGAACTGACAAGACGCCAGTTGTCCGTTTTGAGGTTGGGGTTCTGCTTGCCCAGTATTGTCAGGATGCGTGCCGGATCCACGGATGGTGGTGGCACCCAAGCTGTCAATACCTTACGGCAGGGCATGTCCTTTAAGGATACAGCCGCTAGTTCACATCCCTGCCAGAGGTCGCGAAAGCCGGGTACTGCGGTGATCAGGTAATCCTTAGATTCATGGTTCTAACAGCACATGACTTTCACGCCTTTGTAAACGGTTGCACTGCCGAATTGCATACGTCGTGGGTCACCCTCTCCCGTGAAGACAAGCTCCCTCAGACGATCTTCGAATAGCAACCTTCCGGTTCAGCCTTGTCGATGATTGATACCCGAAGATTGTCCGGGTAGATGGTTTGTGAGTATTTCTCTTCCGTCCCGTTTGGCCTGCCGTTTGTGACTTGACCTCTCCCTTGTGGACCTTGTCAGGCTTAGAGCTAGAAGGGGCTGGTGGGGGCGGTTTAGTCACGACCGACTTGCTAGCGGACGGAGTGGAAGTTGTGGGCAAAGGCCGAGAAGCCGGGCCCGTGGATGCCTTCTTGGCCTCAGGGTGTGGTTCTTCTGTAGACCGACCCCTTTTCAACGCTGGGCGTGAAGAGGTATCGGCCTCCGGTGGAACTGCAGGGGCTACGGCTATAATGGGCTATGGCTATAATGGGCTTCGGTTTCTTGGCCTTATTTTTCCTGCGCTTTTTGGCAGGTGGATTTGAACCAGCAGGGTCAGCATTAGCCGTCACCTCGTGAACAACGACCGTGGTGGTCTTGTTATCGGCGGTGGAATTGCTGACCTCCGCAGGGCCCTCAGCAGAGGGTTGAACCACAGGTTGGTTTACCCTACTGCTGATAGCAGATTGTAGGAGAGGTAGAAGAGTCTGGTTAAGAGAACAGCTTGGTAAATGCGGGTGGTTCTTTTCGAACTTTGCAATTACCCTGAGGTTTATCTTGATCAGAATCCTGTCTCCGTTATCTGCGCGGGGTCTTGGCCGATAATTTTTTTACAATAATTTACCGACCTTTTATAGCCCCGCTTTGCTTTCGCCTCCTTTGGGTCGGCGCCATCATGAGATGTAGGGTTTCTGGCAGGATCCCCGATAGTACCTACAATGATGGCGTCTTGCCGATCGAGGCTGGTGACATCGGCCCCCCCCCCCCCCTTGCGGAGTGCCCCTAGTGACCGATTTCCTGACGGATGTTTCCCCAATGCTTTAGTTGATGATTCTGCTGCTAAGCATGGTATCAATCCAGTCTATGAGGAGTTGGGGTACTTTAAGTTTTTATAAAGAATCATGAATGGATTCTAGCGTGACGTTGTTAAAGGCTTCCTCAATATCGAGGAAGGCAGCCAAGGTGAATAAGGAACCATTCATGTTCTTCTCTATATACCCTACGACATCGTGTTGCGCTGTTTCAATAGATTTACCTTTCATATAGGCATGCTGAGCATTGCTAATGACGGTCTTGGGTAATAGAGATCTGATCTCTATGTCTATCACCCTTCCAAAGTATTCAATAAAAAGGATGAGAGACTTATCGGTCTATAGTCCTTGGGAAGTGAGTGACTCGGTTTCCCCGCTTTGGGGATATAAGTGACTGTGACTTCTCTCCATGATTCCGGAATGTAGGATAGACACAGACAAGCTTTGAAAATCTCCTCCAGTATTGGGGATAATGATGCTGAGACACGCTGGATCATAGCGGGAATAATACCGTCTGGTCCTGGAGATTTAAAAGGCTTGAATGTATCTATAGCCCATTTGATTTTGGGTAAGCTTACTATTCTTTTAGCCAGGTTTTGGTCACTAGCCGTATGATCACGATGCACTTGATCGGTTTGCCGATTGCTTGCAGTGTCGATACAGCCAGGGAAGTGTGTGTTGGCTAGCAGGTTAAGGGTTTCTAGTCCAGAGTCAGTCCATGTGCCGTCAGTCCGTTTTATACTTCCTATGGATTTAGGAACCTTCGAAAGAACTATACGAAATCTGGAGGCATCGTTGACACTTTCTATCGACTCCGTGAAGCATACCCAAGAGGTGCGCTTGGCCTTCTTGATCTTACTGTTGTACTTGTTAAAGAATGCCTTATAGGCGTCCCAGTCCGTACGTAGTTTGGTCTTGTTGGCCCTATTATACAGTCGCCTACTGTCCCTCCTTAAGTTGGATAAATGTTTTGACCACCAAACTGGTTGACATTTTTTCCCTGGGTAGGTTAGCGGACAGACTTTTTCATAGAAATCAATCAAAGCACTCGTTATCGCATTTACGGAGTTGTCTATATCGAGGGTTGAGGTTAAGACCATGTTGTCGAAACAGTGAAGCCTGGGTGTAGCCAGTTCCGTAAATTTGTCCCAATGTGCCTTTCTTGGATTTCTATGTGGTTTTTGAAGATTACCATCTACTAAGACTTTAAAAACTATCTTTTCGGGTGGTCTGAAAACGAGCACTCAGGAGAGACTTCCAAACATGTATTAGAGATTCATCCTTGTTAGTTAGGGTGAGGTCAATGACCTCTGCATTATCTGTGATTTGAAATGTTGCATCGTTGCCCCTATTACAAATTTTGAGATTATATTTTAAGATAAAATCCAAAATGGACTCACATCTGACGTTGATATCGTTGCTGCCCCATTGGAAGTGGTGTGCGTTGGCATCACAACCTATGATTATATGTCCTTTGTCAGCCAGATCTTCGAGCAGCTCCTCTACTTCATGTCCAGGTGCGTCAGGTCGCTCGTACGGTAGATAGAGAGATATACCGTAACGTCTCCTCCACTGTAGTTGCTAAGGAAGATAAGATTTACACTCTTTTTGGCAACAATACACGTCCTTACCTTATCACCATTGGAGATCGCATAAGAGACGTACTGCCCACTCCCTAGTCCAGTTACCCTATTATTGTATATATAGGATTCCTGAACCAGAGCTATGTCTACTTCAGCTTTCGAGAGGGATAGGAGGAGTTCGGCAGCAGCAGCTTTGCAGTGATGCAGATTAATCTGCATGATGCTAAGTAGCCGCTGTTTTCTTCCACCTAATGCAACGGCGTTAGATGGAAGCGGATCCATCCAGCGCCGAAATGCAATTTTCCCCCACGAGCTTGAAGCTATTCCTGGCCATCCGTATCCATAGATACTTTGATGACCAGGCCCCCTCCCTCAGTGTTTGAACTGACAAGACGCCAGTTGTCCGTTTTGAGGTTGGGGTTCTGCTTGCCCAGTATTGTCAGGATGCGTGCCGGATCCACGGATGGTGGTGGCACCCAAGCTGTCAATACCTTACGGCAGGGCATGTCCTTTAAGGATACAGCCGCTAGATCACATCCCTGCCAGAGGTCGCGAAAGCCGGGTACTGCGGTGATCAGGTAATCCTTAGATTCATGGTTCTAACAGCACATGACTTTCACGCCTTTGTAAACGGTTGCACTGCCGAATTGCATACGTCGTGGGTCACCCTCTCCCGTGAAGACAAGCTCCCTCAGACGATCTTCGAATAGCAACATTCCGGTTCAGCCTTGTCGATGATTGATACCCGAAGATTGTCCGGGTAGATGGTTTGTGAGTATTTCTCTTCCGTCCCGTTTGGCCTGCCGTTTGTGACTTGACCTCTCCCTTGTGGACCTTGTCAGGCTTAGAGCTAGAAGGGGCTGGTGGGGGCGGTTTAGTCACGACCGACTTGCTAGCGGACGGAGTGGAAGTTGTGGGCAAAGGCCGAGAAGCCGGGCCCGTGGATGCCTTCTTGGCCTCAGGGTGTGGTTCTTCTGTAGACCGACCTCTTTTCAACGCTGGGCGTGAAGAGGTATCGGCCTCCGGTGGAACTGCAGGGGCTACGGCTATAATGGGCTATGGCTATAATGGGCTTCGGTTTCTTGGCCTTATTTTTCCTGCGCTTTTTGGCAGGTGGATTTGAACCAGCAGGGTCAGCATTAGCCGTCACCTCGTGAACAACGACCGTGGTGGTCTTGTTATCGGCGGTGGAATTGCTGACCTCCGCAGGGCCCTCAGCAGAGGGTTGAACCACAGGTTGGTTTACCCTACTGCTGATAGCAGATTGTAGGAGAGGTAGAAGAGTCTGGTTAAGAGAACAGCTTGGTAAATGCGGGTGGTTCTTTTCGAACTTTGCAATTACCCTGAGGTTTATCTTGATCAGAATCCTGTCTCCGTTATCTGCGCGGGGTCTTGGCCGATAATTTTTTAACAATAATTTACCGACCTTTTATAGCCCCGCTTTGCTTTCGCCTCCTTTGGGTCGGCGCCATCATGAGATGTAGGGTTTCTGGCAGGATCCCCGCTAGTACCTACAATGATGGCGTCTTGCCGATCGAGGCTGGTGACATCGGTAGTGGCCGACGTTAGTCCCTCCTGGATTTGGGACTCTGCGCAAGTCTCGCTGGGAGTGTTCTTGGTGGCTTTTTGAGATGACTTACCACTTTGAGACGAGGAAATGACCGTGATGTCAAGTTCCTCATCCGAAAGTGGTGAGTCATCTCCCAAGCCAGAAGAAATACTTTCCTGACTGAGCCTTAGCGTTTTTGTCTTCTCCAGGAGGGCGGACAATTGTTCGCTGTGTCGCTGGATGTTGTCGTGGATGACGTCGCTGTAGTTCAGTATGGAGTCGTCCCCTCCCGAGTTGGAAATCGTGTCCTGTGGCCGGTCCTTGGTCGTTGCTTCCTTGGAAACAATGGTGTCATTGGTGGTAGTTGGGGGTTTGTTTTTATTTTTATTATAATTGTTCTTCTCCATGTGAAAAGGTCGGACTTGGAGGAGACGAGGTCCACCATGGCATAGCCTCCCAACCATGGCAAGGACTTGTCAACTAAGCCTGTTACTCACTGAGGCACCCAGGTATCAGTGAGGCAACTGTACGAATACAGTCGGTACCCTGACTGCAAACCGAGGAACACTGATGGGCACGGTTTACGTAACACCCCAGCGTTAGAGGGTCTTATTCTTCGGTAGACCAACACCGATCACGGGATAATTCGAGGCGCCAGTTGTTCGTCTCGTCGAACCAGGGATCATGGACACTTGTATATTTATTCCGAGACTCTTATGAAATTCTATTAGTGCCGGTGATTGTTGTGCTTTATTATCACTCGATTTGGAAGAGGCATTTCACAGGATTAATCACGCCAATTTAATCAAGAAGCCACATCGTTTCTTCAATTTTTCGTACTCGATTTGCCGGCTAATGTTTTCATATATGTTCGGCAGAATATAGTACGTCTGTTGTAAAAGTCATGGCCCTTATGTTGCAGTGACCTGTAATTAGGCCCACCGTAAACTTTAGGTCAGATTTCGTCAAGGAGGTGAGTGACGTTGATTTCCGGTCGGAGATCATCGACCATATTTTCTTGGAGACATTACATCCCCTTCCAATCAGCCAGTTCTTATTGAATCTCCCAAGGTAGTGCTTATGTAATACTTGGAAGAAGTGACATAATTGTGGCTTCACTGAGCTATCGATATCTAGATCTACTAACTCAGATCCGCCTCTAGCCACTGATTCATTGCCGGATATGTTACAATGACAGGGACTCAACAACGTGTGACAGACGACTTAAATTTTTCTAGAGCATTTCTACGTTCCGGAATAGCCATAAATTTGATTTTAACAGATCTAATTCATTCTTTCTGTTTCCAGCAGCCCCATGGCTTTCAAGATAACAAAGATTTCTGCCTGAAAAACGCTGCAGTTTCGTTCGGTTTCCATTTTCTGACTCAATTCAATCAGGTTCTGCCTCTAAGTCCAGTCTCAAAAAGGATGCAACCTGTATGGGTTGTGTCCATAACGAGACTGGAGTTAGGTGAGTAGGCTTGGCTGGCAGCGAAGTAGGTGCAGCGTGTCATGTGGACCTGTGCCACATGCTGGGCAGATGTTCTGTACGTCGCCGTTAATCCGGGCCCAGTAGAAATTTAGGCGGCTGCACCATCTGGATTGTAATTGAGCCAAAACTATTCGGTTTTGTCGGGGCAGCTCTCGTTCTTCAGCTGCGACGGGAGGGGGGTGGTCTTCTAGCACAGTATTTACTCTATATCATTCAATGGGTTCTGAGACCGCATTAGAGTGAATACTATTCAGTCCCGCTTGATAGGCCTGATGATCTAGAGGCTCTCTCTTATACCTCTGTACCTCTCTCTCTAGATCATGAAGGTCTTTCCTAACGTGCCTGGGCGGGGGTTGCCTATCCACAAGATGGTGATTTGGATGGCTTTGTCTATAACACCCAAGCAGGTATTGCATTGACAGCATTTTGTTATGCTGTCGCACCGGTAAGACCTTCGCCTCCTCATGTAGGTGATCGACAGATGGCATGAGAAGGCACCCTGTTGCGGTTCTAAAGGCGGCATTCTGGCAGGACTGAACATTTTCCCACTGCGTAGCACTGACGTTAGCGGACCACACTGGAGCCGCATACTTTACCACAGACCGGCCTATCGCGTTGTAAGAAGTCAACAAGGTTTCCTTATCAGCTCCCCAAGTACTGCCGGCCAGAGACTTGAGGACCTTGTTCCTACTTCTAATCTTGTCGCAGATAGCTGTGGTATGCGCGGACGACTTAAAGAGGCTATCGAATGTGACCCCTAATGCCTTGGGGTAGTTGGTGGTCGGAATAATAGCACCATCGACCTGCACATTCAAAGATAGCCCAATCTCCGCAGTCCATGTGGTGAAAAGTGTGGCCGTCGACTTAGTGGCGGATATCTTTACATTCCTCGCAGTGAAAAAGGCGGTAATGCCATGTTTACGTTAGAACTTTTTGTAGGGTTAACCTACTTTGAGAGGATTTATTTGAATTAAAAGTAATGGATATGACAATTAAATCCAAATCCAGTGGGTTAACCCTCATATATATAAACGTACTGTAAGATCAATAAGGTAAGCGTTTAACCGATCGCAAATGTCATCAATAATGGGTCCGGACGCCACAAGCGTACAATCATCTGCGTACGTTATAATCTCTATGCCGTCTGGAGGGCGTGGAATGTCAGAAAGGTAGAGGTTAAACAGTTCCGGAGATATCACCCCACCTTGGGGAACTCCCTGTTTAACTCTACGGATGCTCGACTTCTTGTTTCTGAATTCCACGTACGACTGGCGTCCACACATGTAGTTTACTATCCAACGTTCAAACTTAGCCGGAGGGTGGTGCGCTCAATGTCCTCGAACAGTGTGGCATGATTGACTGTATCAAAGGCTAAATCAAGTGCCACCATAACTGTTCTATCGCACGGCCTGTTCTGGTTGAGACCTCTGCTGACATGTAAAGCGTGTAAAGCTGTTGTTGTGCTGTGCAATTTTCGGAATCCGTGTTGATGATCGGCTACTGGAAAACACTCTCTTATGCTGGGGAGGAGTAAAGCCTCAAGCGTCTTTGCTACTGGTGACAAAAGTGATATCGGCCTGTATGAATCACTTTTGCATCCTTGCCTGGCTTCAGTAGCAGGACCACCCTGCCCATTTTCCAGGCATCGGGAACTACTAGGGTGGCTAACGACAGATTGAGAAGCTTTGTAAGATACTCAACTCCTGGTTCATCCAGTTGCTTCAACATCACCATTGAGATTCCGTCAGGACCAAGCGCTTTGGATGACTTTGCGCTTCTGATGACCTGTGCAACATCTGCCAACGTAAATTGTGGTGGTACCTCCTCGGCTGTAAGGGATCGTACACGGCGTAGGATCCTTCTCTTCGCCCTGTCACTCTCGGGGTGCTCTACAAACTGCCGGTTAAAATAACACGCGCACCTCTTCGGATCTGTCACTTCTACGCCGTTGAATGAGACAGACGCTGCCTCTGCTGGAAAATTTGGTCTTATTTCAGGTATTCGACCAGCAGGTATATAGCGATCGGCTGCAGCTTTGATGATGTCCAGGAAACACCTATCATCACCCGGAAACACCTATATCACCATAACATCAGATGGGTTGGGCAGTTCTCTGAAGCGGCGATTGGTATACTCTCTGAATCCTTGTCAATTGGCTTTCCCGTGGTTAAGGAAAGTGCGGCGTTCAGAGTCAATGAAGTCGGGTGGTCTGTTGATGGCGATAATAATGGGGAGGTGGTCTGAGCCTAGAGAAATGACTGATTGCCAAGTTACGTCATTCGTCAGACCTGGGGACACGATGGATATGTCCGGAGAACTGTGGCATACTCCCCTTATTCTGGTGGGCGCGTCCTCATTCACTGTGCAAAACGTGGAGCTATCTATTTGCTCAGCCAGCGCCATGCCTCTCTGGTCATTACCTAGGACGGAATGCCATAATTCATGATGGGCATTGAAATCCCCTAGCACCAGACGGTTATTGCCTACCAGTAGTGAACTGATATTAGGCATATAACGTAAGGCACAGCTATTTAACGGCGGAATGTACACGTTGAGCACCTCTACCTCGGCGGTTCCACACTTGACCGCTACCCCCATACATTCCATGTACGGGTCACTAGAGTCAAGCTCAGGCGAGATAGGTCTGTACTGGACAGAGTGGTACAATAGGAACGCTAATCCTCCACCTCTGGAGCGATCCTTCCTCAGTACGTTGTATCCATCACAACTTTGAAGCCTGCAGGTGGTACTCAGCTTCGTTTCCTGGATCGCTTCGTTTCCTGGATCTTCCGACTCATAAAGCTTACAATTTCGTTAAGCTTACCTCTGAGACCATCGCAATTAAATTGGAGAAATGATGCATTATCCGGAACCTGAACAGCAATGTGTGGCGTCAACTGCTGCGTAGATTGCTGTTGAGTAGATTGCGGGGGAGTCTCA